ATCAAATACTTTAAGCACTTACACTAATGGTAAGTCAAAACGGTATTTTATTTGAAGTATTTGTTGGTGAAACAAAAAGATACAGTAAAAAAAAAAAAACATTCAAAATGCTGTTCGTTTCCAAACATTTTATTGGAGTACATCCAAATATTCAATTTTATTTTCAGCCATTATCAGAAATTTATCTGATAAACACAACGACAACGCCATTATTGATTTTAATGATGTTTTGAGTTTCTACTCATTCTTGATAGATAAAAGAATTTGGCTGAAATGAGAATGCAGAACATGATAAAGTACCCACACCAATACATTCTTTATTCTATTATCATACCCTACTTGTAAGTTGTTAACATATGATGATAAAACTAACACTTGTTTATTTCTAGAACTCTGCATAATATCGCGATATTTATGAATTGTATACAAAGTTTGGTAGGTTGCATTATCTATTTATGTGTAGTAGATCACTGATGAAACTATAAAAAAAATGACTGTTATTCCAATATTGTAAAACAGATGTTCTCAATGTAAGGCTTGAGTTTGAATGTGTTTGGTTTTGATTCATATACAGATCTTAACAACACATTATATATATATATATATATTACTGAGATTAAGTTTGAATGTGTTTAGTTTGATTCATATACAGATCTTAACAACACACTATAAATATATATATTACTGAGACTAAGTTTGAACGTGTTTAGTTTGATTCATATATAGATCTTAACAACACACTATAAATATATATATTACTGAGACTAAGTTTGAATGTGTTTAGTTTGATTCATGTATAGATCTTAACAACACACTATAAATAAATAAGTATATATTACTGAGATTAAGTTTGAATGTGTTTAGTTTTGATTCATATACAGATCTTAACAACACACTATAAATATATATATATTACTGAGACTAAGTTTGAATGTGTTTAGTTTGATTCATATATAGATCTTAACAACACACTATAGATATATATATTACTGAGATTAAGTTTGATTTTGTTGTGTAAACCTATGCTTCATCTTTATGTTAACAAAAGGAGAGGAAGAACCTTTACGTAAACGATCATCGAGCAGGAAGAATATCTTTCAAGAAGATGACAGTTTTTTGGTCTTCAGGGAACATGAAGGAGAAGTTAGATGGTGCTCTTTTTCTCCAAGTGATGAACTCGTCGTGTCTGGTGGAGTTGATGGCATCGCCATGGTCAGTACTTTGTGTTCTAAAGTATGTTAAAAAAAACGATATGTGAAGTTTTACTACTTCAGGCTTTTCTGTTTCACCCTCAGAAAAGCTTCAATATTTAATGTCCATTTTTCTTCAAGTTCTTTGATTTTCAACTGCAGGTTTTCACTTGGTTTCTTCCGGTTATGAATTTTTTTCATTGATCATCTTGAGAAAGCATCATTTACTTTTTAAGGACGAATTATCATATGTTTTCAATGTAGTTTTAACTAACGTTACTTAGACGTATGAACTGGTGTTTGCATATAAGTTTTGTTCTGCATTGACTCATTTCATCATCAAAATATTTCTACACTTCAAACTTATATGATGGGTACGTTGTGTTCAGTCAGTTTCATATGGACATCTTAACATTTTCAAATCATCTTAAGCTCAGCAGTTTATTGGTTCCTTTTTTTCTGTTAAACATGATTCACATATTGTACAAGTGAATACATCAGTTACATATTCAAACATTTCGCATTTCTGTCATTGTTTAAACCTCTTTATTTCAAACTATAATTTACCGAAAAAGAAACTTCACCAAAAAAAAAACTCCTGGAAAGGTTTTACATTAATGTTTTTGATAACCATTTGCTAACTGTTGAATTTATCTAACAAATTCTGAAACCAAAATAATTTAAACAGACTTTTTTTTTTATAAACTGCTGACCAAAACCATTACTATAGTGGTGCTGAATATAACAATTATTTAATCCGTGAAATCTGAAAGCAGGTCAAAAATAAACAAAGTTGTTCACGGCCCTTTCGTTAGTTAGAATCAAGATAATCAGTTAATAATGGCTGGAAACGGCTTGATTACCCATTCAAGCCGTCTCCAGCCATTATTAGTCTCAAAATGGATTCCTCGTCATCGAAGATAATCAGTTAGTTTGAAAGCTTTAGCACTTGTGTGAGTAGATGTTGCTTTTGGGAGGTTTTGGTTCGTTACATTTTAACATATTGTGTCGACCTGATTAGATACTTCATTTTAGAGCTGGTCGTTTTAATCATTGATTCATTAATCAGGCCTGCGATGGTTTTATTGTCTTAAAGTAATTACACAGACCTGCAATGGATTTATTGTCTTGAAGTAATTAAACGGGCCTGCAATGGTTTTATTGTCTTGAAGTAAATACACAGGCCTGCGATGGTTTTATTGTCTTGAAGTAATTACACAGGACTGCAGTAGTTTTATTGTCTTGAAGTAAATACACAGGCCTGTGATGGTTTTATTGTCTTGAAGTAATTACACAGGACTGCAGTAGTTTTATTGTCTTGAAGTAAATACACAGGCCTGTGATGGTTTTATTGTCTTGAAGTAATTACACAGGACTGCAGTAGTTTTATTGTCTTAAAGTAATTAAACAGGACTGCAGTAGTTTTATTGTCTTAATGTAATTACACAGGCCTGCGATGGTTTTATTGTCATTTGGAGAAACATTGTTGTAATCAATTAATAAGGATGTTGAGTAATTGACTAGCAAATATCGCTAATCCCGTAGCTTTACTTCTTTTACTTCATTTGTAAACAGGAATGCCTAAGTATTATCTGTAAGTTCTCACTAACCTTTAACCTTTGTTATGTCACCATAACCTTATTAAATAAACATTATTTTTAGTTGGTCAGATGGAAAAAAACAACAACTAATTTTTAACACTTGATTTTATCGTCCTACTGCTGATTTCATACACTTGTAAATAGCTAATGTATTTTCAATACATTAGTTTCTGTTTTGTTTTTCTGCTACTGGTTAGTGGTCATTTTTGTGTATGTTCCATTAAGTCGTAACCTCTAGGCATGTTAAAGCAGGAAAGAAATGTAATATACATCTCAGAGTTCTAGAAAATGTAAAACAGTATTTTATGAAATATAAAAATCCTAAGTTCAACATGAATATTAAAACACAGAGAGATGTTCAGAATCTATGGTAACAGTTTGCACATCCCTGTGGCTACACAAGTTGAATCTCTTTATCCTGTTTTTGACGTTAGGTATAGTGTGGTGATTTGCAAGTATCAAAAATTGACCTCTTTTAAATTAATTAAATTATTGATGCAAAGTTTTTTTGTTTTCCATCATTATAAAAACACGCAAGCATCAAGTCTTACTAGTTTGGATTGGGAGATGTCAGTTGTGTTGAATTATATTGGCAAAAGAAGAGAAGCACGATTTCAGCAAGCAAAAAAACTGGCTAATCATTGACTGGCTCCAGTTCCATACTGGAGATAATGAAGAAGCTTGTCACCAGAAATAAGCTGAGAACACACTTGGTCCATTTTGCCTAAAGTATGAACCTCCTTTAGAACACTGGTTTAAGGTATAAAAAAATGACCGAAGAGTCATATTCACAATTTATTTATTTTTTCCAAAGAAAGAGGTTGATTGCAAGCCATCTATTGAAAGTAGTATCTGAAATGTAACAAATGAAAATCTGTCATCATATTGTGCAAAGTGACTGCATCAAAGTGTGTGTAATTCATCATGGTCCTCCTGGTAATACAACATTTAAAAAATTGTATAGGGCGTGTCTCAAGGGATTTATGATGGTTACGTATTACAACTAAAATGGTAAGTTAACAATTTGGAATCAATGAAGATGTTAAAGTGAGTTCTGCATAATGTCAGACTAATGAGGAAACACCATTTTTTGTAAAGACTGAATACTAATAAGGTTCCTCGAAACAAAGCATCCAGCCACTTATTCAAAATACAAGTCCAAACAGACGTTCATGCTATATACCATTTGTATACATACCAATTAAGTTATAAGGTGCATCGTCTGTGACCTTCTGTGTCTTTGGGTTGTTCATACAGGCTCTCAAAAGTTGTCCTTGCACAGTTGATGGACCTTGGAAAGCATGTAGAGAAGAGTGGGACAGCATTGACCTCACTGTATCGTTCTAAAGAGTAATAGTTCGCACTAAGACCATCGAATAGAGCATCATCAGTGATGGAAGAAGGATTTATTTGTTTTTAGATGTTGTGCAAAGTTATATCAGGGATATCTGCACTAGCCTTCCCTAATTTTGAAGTTATAACTTAGAGGGAAGGAAGCTAGTCAACACCACCCACCACCAATTCTCGGGCTACTCTTACTTGAATGAATGGCGAGTTTTGACTGTCATTCGTATAACACATATGTCTCTAAAATGTAGAACTTTTTTTTTTGTTTTTAAGAAGTGGCATATGAGCCACAGAACCTCAGCCCGGTACACTAACCATTTGGACATGCTTGGTCCTAGAAGAAGGAGCTATAAGGTTTGGACAATCACCTTTGTATCATTACCATAGATCGTGAACCCTGTTTTGTAATCCTCTGTCTTATCAAATTTTGTTTTTTGTTTTTAAGAAGTGACATATGAGCCACAGAACCTCAGCCCGGTACACTAACCATTTGGACATGCTTGGTCCTAGAAGAAGGAGCTATAAGGTTTGGACAATCATCTTTGTATTGTTACCATAGATTGTGAACCCTGTTTTGTAATCCTCTGTTTTATCACAATTTGTTTTTGTTTTTTTTGTCATTTGGTAGAATTTCTTTATTATTTTAATCAATGGTAACACAATTCAATAAGTTTAGGTGAAAAAAACATAGTTAACGTGTAATATATGTGTTTTTTCAGGTTTGGTCAGCCATCACTGGAAAAGTTTGTGTTTCTCTAACTGGCCACATTTTTCCCATCAATTGTTGTTGTTTTTCTCCTGATGAAAAACGTATAGCGACCGCATCCAGTGAACTCGTCGTTTTATGGAATATTTTGTCTGGGACAAAGTTATTATCATTTCCTCACATGGATCATTCAGTATTATCGTGTAGGTTCAGTAATGATGGAAAACATCTTATCTCGGCTGCAGGCCCATTTATTTGGAAATGGGATCTTATCAGTCAAAAGTTAAAGTGTCAGTACAACAACCTCAGAACTTCCTACTATGCCATATGTTGTGTGTCTTCTCCTGATGAACAGTACCTTGCTGCTGGGACTTCTGATTGTGCTGTGGTCATTTGGTCTGCAAACTCTGACCAGGTAGCTGCATCGTTCAAAGGACATGATGATCCGGTACAAACAGTGGATTATTCCTGTGATGGATCTATGCTGTTGTCTGGATCTGAGGATGGAACTGTTATGGTTTGGGACACGTCCCAAAAATTTAATACTTCCATGATTAGTTTGTCAACAGAAATATCAGTTCGATTTCAGGACAACCATCCTGTCATAGCTGCTTCAGATGAAAGCAATAGTATTCAAGTAAGGAATGTTATCAGAAGAGTTCTGCTTAGTAGAAGTCTTAACTGAATTTTCTAACAGAAAAAAACCTTACTTGTAAAAATGAAACGTATTGTTACTTGAAAACTATTGTAAAAATGATTTTTTTTTTACATGTTAAATACAAATTAATTGCATTATTTAACAATGTTTAACTAGTCAAATTGTTATGCAGTGTATATTTCAAGTATTTTCTCTTGTTTAATGTTGAAAGTGTGGGAAATAATGTTGCCATGGTTACATTTTTTCTAAGTTGATTTAGGTTCAATGAACAAAAGAGAAGTTAGCTTGTTCTATTTCTTGCTTCATTAATAACAGTTATCAGTACTTAGCCTTAGCTGATCACAAGTACGATATTTTATACTACGTAAACTGTATGTAGTGGTTCAGTGCATTTTAAATTCTTTGTTTTCAGTTTATGTTATGTTATCGTTATTGAACTAACTTTGAGATTCCACCCAAACAATTCCTCTTTGAGAAGTTTACGCAGTGTTTCTAATGAGACCATAATCCATCTAATTTATATACATGTTATCGTCAAGTATCTATACTACCCATTGAAGTTTCATGATTTTCTCATTTTTGAGATTATTTTCTAATTAAAATTCCTTGTTTTGCAACTAACAAGTCTACAGAAGGCTTGTATAATTCACTAATATGAGGCAGTAAGACATCTATTTCTAAAGAAGATGATTGCTATATGTTAACTCATGCCATCTTAACTAGGTTAAAAACTTACTAAAACCTTCTATGAGTGTAAATAAAGGGCTTTAAGTTGACCCTTTTTAAGAAATTAATTTTATGACTATAAGAAAAGAAGCCTTGCTCATTTGAAAAGAATAGATGTTTGTTTTTTTATTTGATTGATTAAATTTTTTTTGTCCTAATATATGGTGAAAAGACTAGAACTATGTGTTGAATTAAAGATATTTAATGGTTTATATTTTTAAGAGATTGGGAATTAATAATGATAGTATAGTTCAAAACTTGACTATTTTCTGCATTTTCTTAGGTTATAAAGGGTCTGAAAGGAGAGATGGAATACAAGACTACCTCTGAAGAAGAAGACATTAGCTGTTGTAATATTTCCTTAGACTGTAAATATGTGGTTTATGGTACAAAGAAGGGATCAGTGAAAGTAAGTATATACGTGATTGAATACATTGATTACTTTTGGGAAGGATTTGTAATTGCTCTTTGTGATGCAAGATGTTTTTATGCTCGGATCATAAAGATGTGATCAGATTAGTGATTTAGAATTTTCAAGATTAGGATGGCCTTTGTACTTAATGTTAATTAGAAGCAAAGGAATATGGATCAACTTGGAAAACCTGGACCATCTAGAAAGAGACCTGTAGCAAGTCATACTCTGGCCATAATAAGCAAAGTGTAGCATCTTGTAACAAGTGAGAATCCTTGAATGAGCAGGTCAGTGGTAAAAGCCATCCATATGTCCTAGGCATCCGGCACAAAATAAGTAAGGAGGATCACTCTGTGGAAAAGTGACAGGAAAGGAAGGCCAACTTTATAAATTGTACCTAGCCAGGGAAAAGTAGAATTACGTGTAGACATTCAACGTGTGTGTGCACCTTAATAACTTTAACAAGACTTGTGCCTTTTTCTTCTCCCAATTCAAGTAAAAAAAAATATAATAAAATAAAAATGAAATCTCTATAGAAAAAATAAGATGAACTGTTTTAAAATATAAAGATCAAACAGAAAATCAAGATCATAATTTAGAAGTAAATCAAAGGAAATTTAAAAAAAAGGAATCAAAACTCAAACAAAAGATGCAGCAAATAAAATTAAATACAAAAACAAAAATTACAACCAGTCTACATATTACAAATTAAAATTCAACAAACTATTTGAGTTTAAATGTTTTGACCAATCTGGCCGTAACCTGACCCTATGTAAGAAAATATTGTTTTGATGTAGCACAAAGTTCACATTTTATTGCTATCCTGGTGAATATACTTAAAGAACACATTTGTTCCAAGCACTATGAATAAGAAATTCATGTAACTTTTTCTGGTAACAATGCACATACAGGTATTCTGGTTACCTCACTAGCTGCAGTCTTTCCTGTCAGTTCTTCTACCATTGTTTAGTTGTTATAGAAACAGTTGCTATGGAGAAGGAGAGAGTTGCAAGCAAACATCTTACTGTGATAAATGAAGTTAAGGCAACTAACTTAAATGGTATTTTTTAAAGCTGTAAAAGTCCTTAAATGTTTGTAATCGTCATCTGTCAATCCTCAAGAGCCCATCAGATCCCCGTTACTTTATATTTTATGTTTGAAAGGTTTATAACAGTAATGTGAATCTGGAAGAGTCCATCAGATCCCCATTACTTAATATTTTATTTGTTGCAGGTCTTACGTAGGCCAACAAAAAGTATAAGTAACTTTCACCGCCACAGAAAAGCTGTAAGATATTGTGTCTTTACTGAAAAGGGAAATCACTTCATTACTTGCTCAGAAGATTGTACACTTAGGGTGAGTTCACATTCTTTATTATATAGAAAATGAGAAACATTATAAAGTGTGTGTGTACCTTTTTAACTATAATCTGAAGTTGTCGAGTTTTCTAATTGATGTGCTAAAGAAAGAATAATGTTAAGAAGCGACAGTGGTTCACTTAAGAAGGGCATGCACGATATTAAGAATTTGTAGAATTGGCTTGAAATCTTTCACATTTTTATTGATAGTTTCATGGTGTTTTCTGCAAAATTGTGTAAGGTGAAAGGTTTTATGCAACAGAAGTGTTACAAAACAAACTCTCCTCATTTTGTATAATGCTGTTAACTTGTGCGCGAAGAGAAATGGCGTGAGAATCGTGAATGAGCCTTGTTGAGTGCATCCTTGCACTGTATGTGTATGTGTGCATGAGCAACGCTTATGTGATTTAGACCAAATATGTAGAACTTCTTGTACATTGTACACCCAAACATATTTATGAACACTACGTGAAATACTGTACTCGGTTATCCTAGCTTATGTAATATATTTTTTTTATGGGGGGTGCGGGAGACGTTTTGAAGATGTGTAGATCCGCAGTCTTTAATCGTAATGAACAAATCCCACTGTGTGCAATTTTTCCTTTTTTCTTGTACATAATTGTTTTTTTAAGTTGAATTCTTTACTGTCAATGAACTAGTGCCTGCCAATTGGCACCTTGTGCTTTACCCAGAACTGTCTGTTTTTCAATTTAGGGTTTTAATATGTATGTTATTAGTTTATTTAGTGCACAAATTAAGAGTTCTTCCTTCGAAGGAAGTTATTTCTTTCAAATGATTTCTTAGTTATTAATTTATGTTTTTGTGTTTTGGGATATTGAATGTGCATTGTACGAGACGTCGGTTATGAGAAAAACTGGAGATACATCTTGAAATCTGTTAATTTAAAACTTTTAAAGCTGCCAACTTTTGCCTGTGAGTAAGAAGAAACAGTACTTTTTCATTGCAATAGTTGACTTGTTTTATTTTTTAACACCAGGATTCAGCCATTGAGAAAACACAATTGTTTCAAAGCAACAGGTGTTCAATTAAAGCTAAAAAATCGACCTACGCAGACAGAAACTTGTGTCTGTCTGTCTGTCTGAATCTAGTTACTGAAGAAATATACATAAGTAAGTGTTGATTACTACATTTCAATTTTTTTATTCTGTGTTTAATTTAGGTATGGCAGTTGAAAGGAACATATGTTTCTTGTTTTGGTCACCATGGTCCAGTTTTAATGTGCAAGGTTTTCAGGAATGACTCAATGATACTGTCTTGCTCAGAAGACGGGTGGATTCGGGTGAGTTATCAGTATGGATATCTTTCTCAGAAGATGGGTCACTTTGTGTAAATTATCGGTACAGGTGGAATCTGGTGATTTTTCAGTTAGGATATTGTCTTGTTCATAAGATGGGTGGATTCTAGTAAGTTATCAGTAAGGATATTGTCTTGTTCATAAGATGGGTGGATTCTGGTAAGTTATCAGTAAGGATATTGTCTTGCTCATAAGATGGGTGGATTCTGGTAAGTTATCAGTAAGGATATTGTCTTGTTCATAAGTCAGGTGGATTTGGTTAAGTTATTAGTTTGGATATTGTCTTGTTCATAAGTCAGGTGGATTTGGTTAAGTTATTAGTTTGGATATT